TGAATTTCCAGAAAGTTCAGAGTCCAGTGGGAAAAAACATGCCACCTGGACCAGAACATAAAGATGAAAAGTAAAGAAATACATGCATTTTTTAATTTGTTACATTTTAATTCCCTCTTAGAAATTTAATAAAAGGGAAAAAAGGAATTGAATCACTAGATTTGAATTATGTTCAAAATGCAAAACTTTATGCAGGATACAAAGAGTTGAAAAGACAATGTACTACATGCTAATCCAACACAACAATTACATATAAATTGCAATGCTTAAAATTATATACCAGTGTAAAGGGCTTCTCCCATCATTGTCAGGAACATCAGGATCAGCATTCCACTTCGAAACTATATAATAAAGAAAAGCTGTCTGACCATATTGAGCAGCAACATGTGTTGCCTGCAAGCAATTGCATATTTGCATAGTCCTTTTATTATCAAAAGTTTGATGATTAAGGATCATAGAATCTAAGTCCCACCACTTACTATCTAGATATCAAATAATAGCAAGGAGAGCAGGAAACAGGAAAAGCACAAGCACCAAAATCATTAGTGAAGGATCCAAAAAAATTCAACCAAGAAAGGCACAAGTAGAGAGAATGATAAACAAGCATTTTAAAGTCCTGATTAGAACAATTGAAATCAAGATTGTACCTAAAAGTAAACTAAAACTGAAAAATATGCCATAAAAGGTGGATCTAGATTGTGCATTGAACTTGTTTTAAGTGCACCTAGAATCTTGGGGAAGTGAAAAATTAGGAGGGCATTTACTAACAGGAAATTTTCAAGAAAATTTGAAATTTTGAAATTTTGAAAATTGAAAACAGGAAAACGCGTATACTATGCTATTTTCCAATTTTCAAAGTTGAGAACAATTCTCCATTTTAGAAGAAATTAGAGACACACTCAAAACATGTTCTCAGATTTGGAAATCACGGGTGAACAATAACAAATACTTGCATCGATTCCTGGCAGCATCTTTTTTCTTCTTTCTTCATTCTTCTTCTCACTTTCTTCTGCACTTTATATCAGTCTCACAACCACCCTCACTTTTTTCTTCTTCACTTTCTTCTTCTCTTTCACAACCACCCTCTCACAGGTTCAATTCCCCTCAAACTCCCCTCAATCACTCATCCTTCGGAGTCGGTACTCCATACTTGGCAACGACAAGCCCAGGGTGGGTGGGCGACGGTAGTCTGAACTTGGCGCCTTTCTCTTCTTCATCATGGAGTCGGAGAAGTGGAAAGCCAAGATTGGAGAAGGCGAGAACTCGAGAAGCAGAAGCCGAGAAGGCCACAAGGCGGGAACGGCAAAACTGCGTGAGTGTGAGAAGGGAATAAGGGAAGGGATTAGGGATTTCAGATTTGTGTTTTGTGTTTTGTATAATTGAATTGGGGTTATTGGGCTATTGGATATTTAGATTGGGCTATTGGCAGAATGAATGGCACTTGGCAGAATGTTTTGTATAATTTATATTTTATATGCATATAAATGGGATTAGGGATTTAGATTGGGCTATTGGCAGTAGGGGTGTGCAAACTTCGGTAAATTTTCGGTTAACCAACCGAACCGACAAAGCTCGGTTAACCATTTTTAAACCGAACTTTTTCGGTTCGGAATAGTTAAAGGTTTTTTAAAATTTCGGTTAATGGTTAATTCGGTGCAAAACTTCAGTTAACCGAATTAACCAAACGGTTAGCCAAAATTTTATATATATATATAAATAAATAAATATATAATTTAATATGTAAAATCCCTATAAATTTGTAATGTTGTTATGATATTGTTTTTGTATATTTTCTTATGAATTTATTATTATAGTTATTATTTTTACTTTTTAGGATTTAAAACTTTAGTTTAAAAAAGTTCGGTTAATTCGGTAATACAAAGTTCTGTTCGGTTAACGATTAAAGTTTTATAAACTCGGTTAAAACGGTTCAGTTAACTGATTGAACACCCCTAATTGGCAGAATGGTTTGTATAATTTCTATACATATAACTTATAAATATATGTATATAGTACATATTTAATTTAGTAAGTAGAGAATGAATTTCGAAAATAAGTACTCATAAACAAGTTTTTAATTTCAATTTTCGAAAACAGAGAACGAAAGTAAACAGAACCTAGGTGATCACAGAAAATGGAGTATGGTTGTGGATTGTATCCAATCCAAAAATCAGGACATATTTGAAGCACAAAATACCCAATGGATGAGTTTAAAACAATTCAAAGCATTTGTTTAGGGGGAAAACTTTAGTTGTTAAGGGTCATGTGCTAAAAATAAAATATATGCAAAAGTATAGTATACCTGATAACCATATATATCAACGGCATTTACCCGAGCACCCTCTTGGAGTAAAAGCTCTGCAACCTGAACTGCACCCCGAACTGCACTCCAGTGCAATGCTGTTTGCCCTGTATGATCTGCAGCATTTACATCTCCTCCATGCTGCCAATTGTAACACCAAGCAATTGCCAATTGGCAGTACTTAGTATGTATATACTTAAAGCAAAACAAAACTTTCACAACAAAGTTACAAAAGAAAGGCACTAAAATTCATCCGTCCAAAAATATCATATTAACTTTTGTTATTTTCAGATTATTAAGCACAAAGAGAAACCTTGAACAGGCCTTTTGGCAGCATAAAATCATTGTCTCATTGTTAAATGGAGTCATTAACTTCAATGTCTAGCATTGTAGCATGTATATGCTGATTTTGATGTAACTTAAATTATTTAATGTCTAATTACAACCATCTCTTCAGCAATATCCACATTTGCATTTTCTGGAAAACACTTTGAATGTAGCAATTTTTTTAAAGCATACATTCTTCAGATTCGGTAAATCAAGTATTATATTTCTCTATTTCAAACAATCACACAAAATACAAAGGTTCACAGGGTTCCCCAAAAAGGAGCGTAACAAAGCGGGATCAGGTTTAGGAAATGAATCATATCACAGAGTTATTATATTATCTTCCAAAACTGAGAAGCTTAAAAGACCTCAATGATGTATTGCGCAGCCGCAATGCGGTTGTTGAGAGCGGCCCACTGGAGGGCGTAGTAGCCGAGGCCATCCGGCTCAGAAACCGAGCACCCCTCGCTCTCGACCAACCTCTGCAGCTTCTCCATGTCCCCGTACGCCGCAGCCGTGTAAACATCGTTCCTCAAGCTGTCCTCCTCCACCACCGAGCCGGACGCAACTCCGCTATTCGACGTCGTCGCCGTCGCCGTCGCCGCCGCAGATCCCCGATCTCTGTATTCGACCTCCTCAACGACCTCGATCTCCGACGCCATACAGAACCCGCGGGGAAATTGAGCTTTGAATTGGAAAGATTCAAAGTTCAAAGTATTGAATTTCAATCAATGCGTATAGTGGTATACTACATACGGTTTGAATATGAATATAGAAATAGAGTTTGGTTGGAGCTGTGTAGGGCTTTTCCAGGAAGGAGAGAAGAGGGAATTGTGGTGGCGGAGAGAGGGGTTGACTTGGCTGAGGATGACGTACCCACCCAGATAACAGAAGCCGACTAACATATCGAAGCCCCAATAATTATTTCTGCTCTCACACCCTCTTCTTCCCTAAATTACTTTAAGCACCCTCCTCCCAGTCATGTTTCTCAAAACTTTTTTTTTTTAGTAATACTAACTCTGTTATAATGTAGTATCTGTTTATATATATATTCAAAATTCTTTTAATTTTGTCACATTATATTTTATTTACTTGTTACAATTAATTTTTCTTTTAAAAAGTTTTGTTATTTTACGATTTACTAAATATAATTAATATGCAATTTAATCTTTTAATTAAAAAAGTTTATGAGAGAGATAAGTTGCATGTTTGGGTAAAGGCTTAAATGATAAATTACAGCATTCTTTATTAAATGATAAAAATAACACAAATTTAAACATAAAACTAATTGTGCTAAACAAATAAAAATCAAGGATGTAATATATTAAAATATTAGAACTAAATATAACAATGCTTCAATAATCAATTATTAAAGTACGAAAATTATGCTTTATCCATTCATCCAGACCTTTTTAAGTAACTCAAGCAATTATGAGCAATTGAGCACCTATCTAGATATTATAGGTGTTAGATATTCTAATATCAATACAGAGGCATAAATTAGTACCATATTGTCAAATGCTTAATCTGCTTAAAATATATTGACCATGTTTGGTAAATGGCTGTTAGATGTTAGCTGATTGTGTTAACTAGAGGGTATAACTAGTTGATAACATTAGCTGTTGTAAAAAAGTGTTTGGTAAAATAGTTGTTAGCTGATAGTTGTTTGGTATAATTTCTTTTATGAAAAAGCTAATTAAAAAGTTGTTTGGATTAGTTTTTTGAATTTTAGCATTTTGAAGTTACAAAAAGCTAATTAATCAAACACTTATATTGATATTGTAACTAAATCAAACAATTAATAGTGGTCAAATAGCCAAAATTGGTCTATAGGCCAATTTTTTACCAAACAGGGCATAGTATTAACGCCTAAGTTTTATGTGTATTTCTTTCTTATTCCATATATATATACATAATTGGTTAAATTAAATATCATATAACAGACTCCGCCGACTCAAATCAAAAAGGTCAAAGGTCAATAAGCTACTTTTACTAGGATTCGAATTAATTTGTAATCTTTTGGTTATCAAGTTAAGAGCCCAACTAACTTAGTTAGGGTTGCCCCGACAATATAAATAAATAAATAAATAAATATATATATATATATATATATATATATATATATATATATATATATATATTCTTAACACAAGATAAGGTTTGTCAATTCAAGATAACTAATTAATAAAAAGAGTTCTATTGTCACTTTAGATAAATTCATAATTAAAAATAATAACGATGAACAATAGAACACATATCTATTCATATATATGGCATAGAGTATTTATGTGGTGAATTGACTATTTACCACTTTCGTAATTTAGCAATTTAGCATGACCATAAGGTCTAAAAAGAAACATAAAATTTAAAATGACAATAAAATTAAACTGAAATAAACATACATACAATATAATGGAAATGAATAATATAATTACACATGAAAATTGGAAACAAAACACACCATCTAGTACTAATCTTCATCGGAGTCAATGTCATGACCATGACAACATGTAAAGGTAACAAATTTATGCATCCGGTAAGAACACTCAGAACATTTCTCATTCTCTGGAATTTTGTTCAGGGTAGTTGAATATTCAAGAGCACAACAAGAATGACGTTTTAAGGAAGAAGAAGAAGAAGTAAGCATCTCATGGTGGTCTTTGAATGCCTCATCAAAACCTTTGGTGGCTATGTTTTCCTTCCAAATCTCATAGTCATTTATAACTTGTAGTATTTTAGCTCCATGCCCACATACAACCATCTTCTTCCCTTTGCTTAGCACGGCCCATCCTTCAATTATTGTATTCTTACCTTCATATGCCAACAATTTCTTGAGTCCATGCAAAATTTCATCATTGCACTCTTCACCAAAGTGATTAATCTCGTCCAAATAATAGATTCTTGACAAAAACATACTTTGAAGACGAGTCCAAAACCGCCATATTGAATAAGAGGACTTCAATGCACAGTAACTCATATTTTCTTTATCAATGATTGATCTTATCATCTTGTTCTTACCAACATAGGCCAACTCTACCTTCAATTGGATTTTAGAAGCAAGTCGATGTAGCTTGGAAGTGAATTCTCGAACCCAGTTAATGTCATTTCCTCCATATAAGAAAATATAATCTTCCCTGTCAAACTGAAGAAAGAACATATATAATTGCTAAATGATTTGTAAAAGAAATAAGAGGTCATAGGCGTGTATGTAGTGTATAGTTTATAAGAGGTTGAAGCTAGAAGCCATACCCAATTTTGCATCACATAATCAAGATGAACATTGCGGCCATATCTTCCTACCACAAGGTCGAGACTGCAATTTGGTTCTTGTTGCCACAAAAATTTTTCCCTTTCTTTGTCATACGGAGTGGATTGTTCTCTCTAATTATGAATGAAAATGAGGTAATTAATGTGATAATAATTAAAACGCCAAACTTTTGAAAAAAGACCTTCATTTTTGGGGGTTAGGGGAGTGAAACTACGGATATATATATATATTTTTTTTCTTAAAGTCAGTATCTTAGTCGAAGTTAATTGTATTTTTTATAATAACATGATGACTGGGAAATAAATAAATGCATGAAAGAGATCATACCAAATTTTGTATCCTCTTTTCAATATCTTGTGTCCAAGCAACTATCTTTTGGTTAATGTCACCTACCAAAACACTTATCATATCTTTGATTTCAGGTATCTCACGATTGATGCTGGAAGTCCCTTTCTTCAACTCTTTTTCTACCAAAGCAGTTATATTATATATTCCTTGAACTCCTAATGTATTTTCTTCAATGTACTTATAAGCCCATATTTGTATCATGTGCATTATATTTGGATGAACAATTCTTCCTTGCTGATCTAATGAAACAATGATGGGCTCCCCTCCCATCTGAAAGTAGGGAAAGAGTTGCTCTTTAACAAATCTAATGAATTGTGGTGAAATCATTTTTTGCGGATCGTTCAACCAATAGAAGCGGGTCTTGCTGCTTAATTTTTTAAATTGTTGCTCATCCTCAGTAGTCCATGATGCATCATTATTCTGAGCGATTGGAATCCAAAGTAGTCTTGTATTCGCATGCCGGGCAAAAAAATTCAGAAATTGAATCCTCAGTTCAGAGATGTGATGGCCTTGGGTAATTAGCAGGACCAATCTTGTGCTGTTCCAATCATTTAATCCCTAATATATACCAAATATTCACACGTTATATATATATATATATATATATATATATATATATATATATATATATATATATATATATAGCGCTCGTATGCGGCGGGGTCTTACTGTGCGGCGGTGCGGTCAAATTCCAGAATACACCAACAGTGTTAACAATATGCACCAACAGTGTAATAAAAACACACCACAATGAAATGCAATAAAACATCACAAAATACACAACAGACTCAAAAAAATACACCATATAACTCACCACCCCCAATGGTGTATTTCTGAACAGTGTATGGTGTTTTTACTCACACCTAATGGTGTGTGTTTGGTGATGCAGGGCTCTGTTTACTCTGTTTTGTGTGGTGTATTTTCCTAACGTTGATGGTGCATATTTGTTGAACTATTGGTGTTGCCGCACCGTAAGAAATAACCGCACCGTAAGACACTGCCGCACCTGAACCCGCCTCTCTCTCTCTCTCTCTCTCTATATATATATATATATATATATATATATATATATGGAAGGGATCGGGTGTGGGTGGTGGTTCCCGTGCAGTTGTACGGGTGGACTCACATTAAACATTACACTAGCGCACTTTAAGTACACAGCAAACGCACATTAAACACACAAACAAAATACATTCAGAAACCTTACAAAACTCATGCATCTTAAGCACAACTCTCATGCACCTTAAGCACAAAACTCATGCATCTTAAGCACAACCCTCACGCACCTTAAGCATAAAACTCACGCACCTTAAGCACAAAAACACACGCACATTAAGTTTTAACAACTCAAATTAAGTACAAAACTCACGCACCTTAAGCACAAAACTCATGCACATTAAACACGCAAAACTCATGCATTTTAAAGTTTCAACAATAACTCACATTAAGTACACACTCACGCACATTAGGCACACAACTCACGCACCTTAGGCACAAGACTTGCACCTTAAGCACAAGACTCACGCATATTAAGTATAAAACTCACGCACATTAATCACCCGCACAACCGCACGGGAAGCATTCACCCTCAACGGAACTTAAACATATATATATATATATATATATATATATATATATATATATATATATATATATATATATATATATATATATTATAGCACAAAATAATAGTAAATAATGAACATTATTAGTTAAGGTTCAAAATCTCACCTTGTCTTCAAATAGCATCTCACCATCCTTGACATTAAACATTAATCTGAAAACTTCAGACTTACTAGAAGAATTGTAATATAAAGCACGCTTCAATGCTTCATATGATTCCTCTGCCCTCTTCTTTTCTGCATATATATATTATATAGTTAATCATGGATAAATAAATATGAACTATATATAAAATAAAACCAACCTAGTTCTGAGGAAAAAGTGTGGAGTATGGTAGCAGTTGAAGTGGTAAGTTCCTCAATAAGTTCATCATTTGGAGGAGGAGAATAAGAAGTGGCAACAACACTTCTACCTATCCAATAGGTTGCAATTGGCAAGGTAGAGATTATTGATTGCGGCGTAGAGTAATTAGATGATGGCGTAGTAGTTTGTTTCAGCTCAACAACGCATTTAGTGAGTCGCAGAACAGAAGTGATGCAATCAACAACTGCTCCACTTTTGTTATTCGAGAGACGACGACTTATCTTCCCATGGCTGCTGCAGTAGAGTTGTCCATTGATGATTATGGAGAAAGCAGAAAGCATGAATACCATCTTATCTTCCCAACAATAGGAAGACAGCATTCTCAGTACATGAAGAGTGGTGGAGTGTTCATTATTTGCACTACTGTTCAAACCAGCTGAAGCTATCTGAAAATTATATATGGAAAACATCATATATATATAGCTCCTCCTAGCTTGGCCATCAAATGGTTAAGAAAGATCACCTGAAATGAAAGTTGTCTGATAAGGGATGGAAGTTGTTTGTAATTGATGAGCTCTTCAACTTCATTCAACTTCTCCACCCCTGCTTCTTCACCAATACCCTGATCAACCCCACAACACATACATTCAAATCAACATTTTAGCAAGCTGCTGGTATTTAGCTTCTAGAATTAATAAACAAATTAGAGTTTTTTTTTTTTTTTCCACGTTTTATCCCACGACTATAGGATCATTTCTACATTTGATCCTGACTATAAATATTTTCATATTCGGTCTGATGACTTTGAAATTTTTGCCATATTTGATCTTTTTGACCTAATTTTCGATCACCGTATCGGTGGCCAAAGTTCAGGCTAGTGACTTGTCTTGAAGTTGAAAATTGCCATTTTTAATCCCCTCCCCTATACATTAAAGAAAAAAGTTATGGAAAATGATAATTTTGCCTTTTTAAGACATGTTACCGGTGTAAAAAAATCATATTGCAAGAACCTAATGTGATAAAGATTTAAAAGTCATAGGATCAAATGCGAAAAGTTAGTAATAATTAGGGACCAAATGTGAAAATAATCACATTTTAACTTCTTGATACCAACTAGTGATAAGTAGATCGATTGACTTACCATCTTGACACTAAGAATATTTTCGGCAATGCTCAAAATAACATTGGTGTTGAACTTTCTACCGTCATAGTTGTGAGTGGACAACACCTGCTCCCTGATTATACTCTCATTAGGAACCTGACTTCTTGGTGATGAGAGTGTCAATGTTGGTTGTGGAATTGTTCTCCTAGATAGCAATAGTGTTTGGTTTGCCATATTGAATTGAGAATTAGGGGGGAAATGAGGACAGTTTCTGGTATTAGCTAGTAGTCTTTGCTTATGTTTACTCACTACTGCACTAAATGATCACTTATATAATAGCATTTGAAGATGCCCAAAGAACCAAAAGGCTAGATAAAATTATATTCTTATCCTTCAATGCACTCCAAGAATTATATTTATAAAGAAAAAGAGTAATATATAAACATTTACAGAACTTAAGAAACACGTTATTATAAAGTGTATGTTAAGAATTTAATCCAATTTTAACCCTTCAACTTTCATCACATTTCAACTTGTAATCTCCAACTTTCATATTTTTCAATTCACTTGAAATGCAGGTCTATGACTAGGGAAAAAAAAAAAAAAAAAAAAAAAACATTTGGCTCATCAGCTGATGACTATTTTTGGAGGGCAAAAGTATCCTTCCACTCATTATTTTGGATGAAATCACACCCAGGCCACTTTTCTAAATCATTTCTCCAACACAACAAGCATTCACGACATACCATTAAAAGTAGTTTTCGTTACTTGTTTAGTAAATTTAATAAAAAAATTATTTGATTATAATTAACAAAATTATCTGTAATATTTAAATATATAAGTCTATTCACAAATTATGTTAAAATAAAAATCAATTATATATAAAATTATTCTTTTTATATCACACATCTTAAATTAATACTAAAATTAATATGAAATGATTATTGTAAATATCTCTTATATAAGACACTAATATTAATTATAAATAATATATCAAGAATATATATAGGATTTAGGCAATGTTTGGTTCATGAAAAATGTTTTCCTTAAAATAGAAGAAAATGTTGTTTTTTAGTGTGTGGTTCCTCAAATTTGAGGAAAACAAAATCCTTAATTGGACCAATGATTTTGTTTTTCATGGAAGATGAGAAGAAAAAGTGATATGATTTGACTATTTTATTCTTGTTTTTTTCTTAATTATATTACTCTTATTAATTTGTAGGGGCATATATGTCTTTATACTCGTTATTCTTTACAATTCAAATTTAACCAAACAATAGAATTAGTATTCCTAGTAATTCTTTTTCCACCAACCAAACAATGAAATTCATCTTTCTAGTAATTGTTTTTCCATGGAATTTCAATTCAACTTCCCTTAAAATATTTTCCGCGAACCAAACGAGTCCTTAGTGATATATGATTCAGTTCGGTGGGTCAAGATGAAAAGACTACGTTAAGACTGTCTCATGTAGGAGTGGAGAGGATTGGGTTGGGCCCATGATATAGGGATTGATGACTATAAATACATTGGTTATATTTCTAGGTGTGGTATTACTATTACAATTAATAAAGAATAGTTTATTGTGAATGTAAACCGAACCACGTAAATCTTGTCTTCTTTACTTTTCTGTTATTGTTATTGTTTCTTGTTCGCGATTAATCTCAACATTAGGACTCTGACTCATCACCATATTAATGGGATTTTTATATCCAAACTATGTATACAAGATAGATGTAATTCGCTATTTTTAAATTATATTAAATGGGTACATGCTATGTTTTGTATATTCTTTCCTTTAGCAGTTTTTTGTTTGACTTAAACCTTTTTACCTGGCGTTATCCATTCATCCTTCTAAATTTGGTTGAATATAAAAAAATGCGTAAACATATATTTATATACTAAGTGAAGCATCATCCAGAAGAAAGTATAAAGCATGTAAGATGGATGAATAATGAAATTAATTACCTCTTGCATTGTATCGTTCCATGCTGAAGATCAGATCAGAGAATCCCCATGAATTAATAACTGAATAAAATATAAAAATATGTGTTGAGAAGATCAGAGCATATTTGGTGACAATTGGGATATGATATTGGGTTTGAGGAGATCGAGAGGGAGTGAGGATCAATAATATAATAGTGCGATAGGGATTTGGGTTTAGCCATTATAGTATTAGTACTTTATGTGGTTCTGTCTGAATAATGCCTCGTGCAAAAAACACATGTTTTGTAGGAGAAAAAGTTTTAACAAAAATTCTTATTCCATAATTAAAAACTCTACTTCAAATTTTTTGTTCTAAAAAAACCTTTCAAAAAATACTTATGAGAATGCTCTTAAAAGTGTGTAAAACATCTCAATTGGTTAGAGAAATAAGAAAAATAATTAATCATAAATCTATATTCACATTTGATCAAATAAATGGCAATTGTAGAGATGTCGGGACATGGGGTGGGATTTGTGGGGGGGAGGGGGGGGAGGGGAGGTGGGTGAGGCGTGGCAATCAAGTGGAATCCCCATCCTCGCCCCTAA